ATCAAGGATTATGACCTGTAGATTCATTATCATCCCAGCAAAGCCACCACGATAGCAAATGCTCTTAGTAGAAAGTCAACGGGAAATTTAGCATGTTTGCTTACGGAGTGGAATGAACTATTACTTGACTTGGAAAGAATGGAGGTTGAAATTGTGCTATATGAACGGGGTGAAATGTTAGCCCCAATGACAGCATAACCGACTATTATTGAGGAAATTAAACAAAGGCAATTGGAGGATGAATTTCTGAAGAAAGTACATAACAAGATAGAAACAAAGCCGAGACCGGGATTTTCTTTGGAAGCTCAAGTGTTGAAATTCAAGAGATGATTGTGTGTTCCTAATGTCCCCGAAATTAAAGGAAGAGTCTTGGAAGAAGCTCACAAGTCCAGATTTGCTATGCATCCCGGAAATACCAAAATGTACCAAGATCTCAAGAAAACTTTTTGGTGGCCCAATATGAAGAGAGAAATTGCAGAGTTCATTTCAAGATGCCTTCAATGTCAACAAGTGAAAGCGGAGCACCAAAGACTGGCGAGATTACTTCAACCTCTCCCTATTTCGGAATAGAAGTGGGAACACATAACTATGGATTTTATTATGGGCTTACCCCGAATACCCCGAAGTATGGACCCTATATGCGTTAAAGACTGTTTATAATGCTGATAGACTTGCTACTATGTACATTGTTGAGATTATTCGCTTGCACGATGTTCCGGTTTCCATTGTGTCGATAAAGATTCTAAGTTTGTGTCAAGGTTTTGGCAAAGTTTACAGAAAGCATTGGGGACAGAATTGAGGTTTAGTACAGCATTTCATCCACAAACCGATGGACAATCTGAAAGAACTATATAGACATTAGAAGACATGCTCCGGATATGTGTTTTGGATTTCAATGAAAGTTGGGAAACTCATTTACCTTTGGCAGAATTTGCATATAACAACAGTTTCCACTCCAGTATCGAAATTGCACCATATAAAGCTTTGTATGGAAGAAAATGTCGAACTCCGGTTTGTTGGACCGAGGTTGAGGATAGGTCATTGATTGGGACTGAAATTGTGCAAGTTACTACGAAAAAGATTCAGATCATCCAACAGAGATTGAAAACTGCTCAAAGCCAACAAAAGAGCTATGCAGATCAAAGAATGAGAGACTTGGAATTTGAAGTTGGAGATCACGTTTTTGTCAAAGTCACCCCAATGGAAGGGCACACAAGGTTCGAGAAGAAAGGGAAATTGTCACCCCGGTACGTAGGGCCATTTCAAATTTTAGAAAAGTTGGGTCCGGTTGCCTATCGAATTGCTTTACCACCAAGCACGGAGCAAGTGCACAATGTGTTCCACGTATCTATGTTGTAAGGCTACCTTTGGGACACTTCTCACATTATTGACTATCATCAAATTGTGCTAGATGACAATAAGGTTTATGAGGAGAAACCTATCCAAATCCTTGATCGGCAAGTCAAGCAACTAAGGAACAAGATTATCCTATTGGTAAAAGTCGAATGGAGGGAACATCATAGAAACGAAGCCACTTGGGAACGGGGAGAAGAAATGAGGCAACGATATACAGAATTGTTCTCGACTTGAGGTAAACAAGTTTGGAGGACCAAACTTCCTAAAGGGGGGAAGATTGTGATAACCCAACCCGTACTCTACTTAATTATGCATGGGATTATGTGTTTGATATGAATTTGCAAGTTTAATATGTGAATTTGGAATAATATTTGTTGAACGTAGGAATATCTGTTGCAATTACAACTTTGAACTGAAATTGAAAGTCTTAGATGTGCAATAAACAAAAACTGACTTCATATCTCTAATTAGCGTGAATTATAGAGCTTACGGTGAAATTTTGAAAAATTACAATTCATAATGATTAAATTAAAGAATTAAGAGTTAAGTTATATATTGGTGTTGGTCTCTTGTATTCTTCATTTGGTGGAGAGCTTGCTACAGTGAGTTAGAGAGAAAGAAAGAAGAAGGGATAGGGTTTTGGAAGAGAATCAAAGGGAAAACCTTAGTCTTGAGTTAAGGTATAATAATCTACTTATAATCTTTGTCTCTAACTCATCCTTGTCATAGGATCAAGAAAAAATTGGGAATTGTGAGCTAGGATTTGAGTTATGTAATGGATTGAACTTAATGCAAGAAATCTCTTCATATTTCTTTGATTTGAGTCCAATCTTGTGATTAATGCATGAAATGAGATCTAGATTTGCATACAACAAAGATTTGTTGAAAATCATCCATGTTTTTATGTGTTTGAGCTTGATTATGAAATTTATGAAGTTATGAAAAAGAAGAGACCTTGATTTTGTTTTTGGCTCAAGATTGATGTGTTGAGATGCAATTACCCTTGTATCATGCTTGTATATTATGTTTTTGAGTTATTCTTGCATGATTTAGTACTTGAAAATCAACCTAGAAGCTTAAGTTTTTCTTCAGCTTCATACTACCCAGAACAGCCAGGACCACACGTACGGGACTCACAACTGCACATGCAAGGTTCACGGCCACATGTACGGGGCTCACAGCCACTCGTGCAGGAAATAGGACAAGGCTACACTTCGCTACTGAAATAAAAGCCGTACGGGCCACACGTATGGTACGCATGTGCGATACGCTTTCCACACATGCATTTATGGGCTTCTGCACGTGCGAAAATCAAGGGTAAAATCTTTTTTTTTTTTTTTTGTTAACTTTGTTGACCCTCTAAATTCGTTTATGAGCATATTTTGTCCCTCTGCAATGCTTATAGATGACTGGAAAATGAACGAATTGTAAGACAAATTAATGAAAGAAAGTGTATGAATTGAATAGTTTATTCATCGAATGTGTGTGTAAAATGTTTGTGTAGGACGTGTGTTGGAGGAAACATCGCGGGATCTAACGCACTGTGAGTAATAATATTGTACATATTTGCTCTTTATTGTGTATCTCAAACCAAGAATGGTGAATGGTGCCGACATTGTGATTTGACTGAAATGAAGAAACTTCATTCATATTATATGACATGTGCAATATGGGCCCGAGGCTGTTTGCATATATGATTAGGCCTGAGGTTGTTCGAATATATGATTGGGCCCAAGGCCGTTTGAATATATGATTGGGCCCATGGCCGTTTGAATGTATGATTGGGCCCGAGGCCGTTCGAATATATGATTGGGCCCGAAACCATTTGAATATATGTTGGGCCCGAAGCCGTTTGATATATGATTAGGCCCAAGGCCATTATGTGTATTTGATTATGGATATTGTGAGAACCTTATAATTATCTATTTATACTGTTTTACTATATTATTACTCATTAAGTTTCACTCACACAATATTATGTATGCACATGTAGGTGATTCGCAATATGGAACACACCACTAGAGTCAGCTTCGGGAGCTATTTTTCCGACCCAATCGAGTCATGCCTCCGAGATGGAGTTTTGTCTTTGACTCACACGACACCTTGTCCTCATTTTGTTTTTGCTATTATGGTCTTGGGTTTGTAAACATTATGTACAAATTTCCTATGGTATTTGTATTTTTGCTTGGGCATGTAAATGTTTAATTGTGTTATGAGATTAACTTTATAATTTTGCTCACGATTGGCGCAACTCAATGGACTTCTCATTATCATATGCTTCTGTTTGTGGCCCCATTAGCATAAATATTATGTATGATCGTTTGAGGCCTTCGGTAATCTACGAATTACTGGCCGTTTATGACCCAATCTTTTAGGGGCGGATTCGGGTCATGACACAAACTCACCATCTGTGTCTTCTCTATCAATAACTCTTTTCCCAAGGTCTCCAAAGACTTCATGCTATGTTTCTTAGCCATCACTCCAAATTAGACAAATCCCACCGGGAGTGCCAAAATATGTTAGCAAAAATCTGGTTTATATCAAATCAACAAAGTGGATTCGACAGACAAAACCAATTTTTGCGAACAAAAACCAATCAAACAACTGTGGTTGGTGTCGTATGCCTTGACAGATTCAAGAACTTCTTTGAAGGTTGTAATATGAAGGAACAAGAATAAATACACTGAAATTTTGATTAATAACACTTGAACTTGTTACTTAATTTCAAGAATCAAATTATAAGTACCAAGCATTACAATCGACAGAGTTCAATAGCATTGGTTACAGGATTAACTGCTAATCTACTCCTAGTTACAAGGACTACTTGTATGATACATTAAAATACTCATAGATTTCACAAGTCTTATGAATTAGGTTGAAGGTCCTCTTCTCTTTGAATTCCCAACTTTTTTATTGCTTCATTGGTCATGAAATGCAGCCACGTGTCTGTGTTAGCATTTTCCACTTGCCCATGATCTACAACTATTGCAACTGCTTTCAGCTCCTTTTCTCCTTGCAACAGTCACGTGTCATACCTTTGATCTCTCTCTCCAGACCACCATCTTCAAGCCCACGATTCTTGGACCCATTGCTCATATTCTTGCTCTTTGACATGCTTGTCGACATAACGTTCAATAATTTTAAAAACAAAGACTCAAACATAGACTAGTACCAAGAAAAATAACACGTAGTCTAAATTTAATTCGTGAATCTCATTATACAATAATTAAATTTAGATCACATATTATATTATTTTTTCATGTCATGTCATGTCATTTCTTACCAGTCCCTACTCGCTACCCTCCGCCACTCAGCCAGTCACTGGTTTTAGCAATCACAGCATAATACATAGCTGAGAAATACGAGGACATGATGAGCTTTGTCGTGTCATTTCTTTGTGGCTTGTTCACTATTGGGAAATTTTCCAATTCAAAATTACCACCAAAAGTCCTTTCTGTTCAGTAAAAACAAACTCATCAATCCCATATGGTACTGAACCCAGATAGTATGCTGTGATTGTGGCAGGGATGTGGGGAAAGTAGTGGGTAGCAGAGATCTTTGGGGATGACACAGATGGCACAGCTTTGTTCTTTTTCAAAACTATATAGTTCTTATTCCTCAAAAAAATCAGTTTTTCATCGTTCTTTTTTAAAGTCATTTTATATTTTTTATTGACGGAATTAGCATTGTGCTTTAGCTCAAAATCACATTACACTTGTCGATCTATATTTAACGAGATAAAGTACTTCAAGCCCAAACCATGAAAGGGTAAATTGAATTTTTTCCCTTGTACTTCAAGCTCACCAAAATGGCAAAATGCCAATGTAACATACAGAAGCTCAGTTAACAAATAAGGGCTTCAAACCAAGGGCTAGAGATCAAGCACGAGCACCATTTCTGGATTGATAAAGGCTCTTCAGCCTTGCCCTGATCATAAACTTAATTTACTACCCGCACATCTGTTGAGATGTTGTCCTCGCCTGCTTCTTTGTTGGTCGATCTACAAGTTCAGAAGCAAGTGATTCACACAATAGAGAAGAAAGCCCTGGCCCATCGAGCGGTAAATCTGTATTCTCATCTGGACTGGGCAGTGCTAGGGGATTGACTGCAACGGCAAGAATACCATACTGAGTCCAAAAGTTGGTATCATAAAATTTTACAGCTGAAAATTCACTAATATAAAACAAATAAATTCTGTTGTTTTTATTTTATCATTGGTCAAGGAAAATGCAATAAATTCACAAGCCTATTCATTGAGAATAAAAAAACTGAGGTGGTCTTGGGTAATAGACATAGCAATCTATTTGGGAGAAGCAACTGAGGAAGATTGGGAAAGGACTGAGAAGAAAAATCATTATAAAAAATACCACCTTGCATCAATTTTTTTTTTTTTTTTTTTTTTAAACAGTTGCCTTACAAGATTTCGACAGGTTTGTCAGTTTATGGAGAAAAAGCCTATACTAGCAGTTTAGCTCATTGAAAAGAAAAAAAGGCATGAAAACTAAAATAGGTTCATTTTAAAAGTTATTTTATTGAAATTGGATCATAATCAACTTCCGGTGAACTAACAAAATTGTTGCTATGGATAGTTTTCAGGCCTATTACATATCGATAAAACATCTTTTTCAGTTGCTAGAACAAAGTTAATTTATCAAGTATATCCTCATTTAGAAAACATTTAAGATTAAGTGTTCTCATTCAAGCGATGAGTAATACCACACTTACCATCAGAAGGTTCAAGAAGCCCCGGCATCCCAATGTTTGTGCCATCAGATGAAGCTGTCAAACGAGCAGGACGCTTCCTCACATAGTTTTCCTGCAAAGGTTTTGGGATTTGAAATGAAAATTGTGACATGGTCACCCCAGCATCCATATACTCAGGATGTTCCAGCAAGTACCTGGACAATCACAAGCATCATCAAAAACAGAAAAGGAAATCATTGATGAGCACCGTTTTGAAATCTTGAAGTACCTACCATTTTGTTTTTATTATATCATTTTAGTATTTGAAGTATGAATTAAGAATTAAGCAGAAAGCAGCGCAATATCAGAATGATCAAGCAACTAGAGACACGTACCTTTGAATCTCAACCGTAGAGCGAAGTCTCTTGCCTGACGGTGCAACATAATACCTGAAAATCATAAAAGACAGAAAATCACTACCAAGAGATACTTGCCAACGGACTAAAATATCTAATACCACATTTTGCAGCTTTTTAAGAAGCTGCGTAGGTGGTGCAACTAGGAGCTACCAATAAATCACACTAGGTCGTAATGTAAAAGAGCAGCACAGTGCACAATGCTTTGGCTGGAAGTAGTTAAATGTACACTTTCCAAATAAAATATGTTGGTAGCAGGGTGTAATATTTTTTTATATAAGCTACTAATACTCAAGTATAAACATTCAGAAGTAGGATACAGAAAAATGAATGGCATTAAAGGGATGAAATCCCAACAAAGATCACAATACAGCTACAAAAACCACGAAAGGCATCAAAGAAAATAAGTATGAAGCCCACAAAAAGAAATCCATCCACACACAAAAAATAAAATAAAATTACTTCCAGTGTTGTTGCCATCCTGATGTACTATAACAACCTTGCTAAATAGCCAATATTCATCCCAAAGCATCTTCCATTGAAAAGGCCCTTTTCAGAACGGGGAGCAATGGGGTCAGGATATCACCCAACACAATAGTGTAGCAAACCTACAGAATTTCCATTTTCTTTTCCTGATAAGAGAGGCAACCTACAATTGCCCAGAAGAAGAAGAAAAACACACACACACACACACACAACAACAACAACAAAAAGAAAAAAAAAAAAGATTTGACCTGTATATCAAAGCTCGGAGGGAAGCTGCAGTCAGATTCTGATGATAAGCAATACTACTTGTTACATCTTTTGTATAAGCTAAGCTGCCATTGCATCTCTGCCAAACTCCTACTGTCCCCTGTTCAATATTTAGTGGGGGGCGGGGCTAAGTTATCTCAATGATATTAATGTGTGGGCCATTACTCTCATCTTTAAGTGAGTGTGTGATGTTTATTGAGTCATCCATCACCAAAAGCCTTTGGTGATTAACAATTCCGTCTATCTTTCCTACGCTCCTCCAAAGAAAGTTACAATTTTAGAGGTTTATTGAAAATTAAACTTTTGTTTGGTCTATAACTTGTATCATTTTCCGTTTCATTCTTTCTTTTCCTAGAAATTGTTTCATCCCAATATAAAGAACTTCTGATTTTCACTAGAATGCTATAGCCAAAAAGCCAGATTACCACGGCAAGCCTTTTCTCCACTATGTTTTACATAGAAGGAGAAGTAGGCTGAATTTTTCATCCCTTCATATCCCCACCACCCCTGCGCCCTCTTTTTCTGTAGGGCTACCTGAGGGAAATGAATTATGCACTTGATGTAGAAGCAAGCACCACACCAGGCAAAAATAATAATTTCTACATTCTAGCAGGCAACACATGATAGCCTCAAATAAACAAGTAATTTGCTGGCCATGTCGGTTTCTTGATTTTGCGAAGGAAATATTTATTTACTAACAGAGGTTTGGTGACTTCCACACCTGATAAGCACTGTTTAGAAGATTACAAAATGTTTTGATCACCTTTAAAGCTGCGTTGCCACTCTAAACAAAAGTGAAACTCAAAAACTAAAGAAAAAGTATCAGCAGAAGGCTATTCTATGCATGTGGGATTCTTCGGCTACAAATAAATAAAGAAACAAATAGATAAGGATACATACACATCTGCAAAATGGGTACTTCCAGCACCTCTGATTCTCAGAAGCCGCTGCCACCCAGGAGGAGGCTGAGCAATATTAGGCTTATCAATTGCCCAGAGCATGCTGTCATCTTGGCAAATGTCAGGTGGATCTTCACATGATATTTCAGGCCGCCACTCATGAGCTGTTTCACACACAAAAGGGTGCTCTAAAATGTGTTCACGTATTTCCTCGTACTTTTCTTTTGTTGGTATGAGCCTCCACTTGAAGCAGTAGGCACACTGGACAGTGAAAGCCCCCACAGACGGCAACACTCTGGAAGAGTGACATGGCAAAGAGTTTCTTGGGAAAGGAGGGGGTTGGTACTCATTGGGATCAGGAACAGCTTCAATTTCACCTGTACCATTAGCAGAAGGATCATAAACCACCATTTGTTTTTGAGCATTCTCACTAGACTGATTATCTTCATCTCCTGCACTATAATCCTCTTCCACTTCAGAATAAGCCACATCTAAGTGTTGCCGAAGAGGCTTATCCAAGTGATCTGAGAAAGTAGAACCATCGAAGCCATTTTCTTCCCTTTCCACTTCAAGGGGATGTTTTGTAGGACTTGACTGCATCTGAACAATTCTAAAATGACAACTAATGAGAAAAGGATACATAATTTAACCCTACAAACATTCTAGAGTTGTCAAAGATACATGTAAAAGAAGCTATTTGGTTACCTAGCATAATGACAACCATAATGAGCAAAGCATACATAATTTAACCTACAAACCTTCTAGAGTTTTCAAACATCTATCTAAATGCAGCTATTTGATTAGCCTGTTTCGCAATGGAATTTTCCCAAAATTCTAAAGAAACCATACCTACACGAACTGATGTAGGAATAAAAGAATAGAAAGAATTATTTAGCTTACCAATCAATGAGGTAGAGGCCATGTATATATAATATATTCATGATATAATTTAGGAAATAATATATACAAGGTAAGATTCCTATAATCAAAATAATTCATATTCTAATTTCCATATTCAAACATAATATTTTGATTTCTATATTCAACACTACCCCTCTCAAGCTAACGTAAAGATATTCAACAAACGCAACTTGTCAATAGAAGACTGAAGCAAAGTTAGTCCCACAGATTTTGTGAACATATCTGCCAACTGTTGAAAAAAAAGAGACAAAGAATGGACGCACAATGTAGTCCGAATCTTTTCTCGAATGAAATGTATGTCAACCTCGATATGCTTGGTACGCTCATAAAGTACAAAATCAGAGGATGACATAATGGTAGATTTGTTATCACAAAATAAAGAGGAAGGGACAGTCTCCTCAAAACCTAACCGAATTCAAAGAATCTCACATGTCCCATATGCCATAGCCTGATACTTAGCCTCTGCAGAAGACCTAGAAACCACTGCTTGCTTTTACTTTTCCATGAGATAAGATGATCACCATAGAAAGTACAGAAGCCAGAAGTGGAACACCGATCAGTCCTAGCTCCTGCATAGTCTGTATCAGTGAAACAAGAAAGCCTAGATTGGAGACTAGCAGTAAAGAACAATCCCAAGTCAGGAGAAGTCTTTAAATACCTCAGAATATGATGAACCGCATCAAGGTACTTTTTACAAGGTACATGCATGAACGTCATCACAACACTAACTGCAAATGTCAAGTTAAGTTTAGTGTTGGTCAAATAAATGAGGCATCCACTGACTCACAACACTAACTGCAAATGTCAAGTCAAGTTTAGTGTTGATCAAATAAATAAGGCATCCAACAAGACACTGATACATGCCTTGCCTGGGTCATCCAGCAACTCACTAGACTCTAATGTGAGTTTGACATTAGGATTCATAGGAGTAGAAGCAGGTTTACACCCTAACATACCAGAATCCTAAAGTAAGTCAAGGGTGTACTTTTTTTGAGACAAGGAGATTCCCTTCCTTGAGCGAGCCACCTCAATTCCCAGAAAATATTTGAGACATCCCAAATCCTTAATATCAAAAGTTTGGCCCAAGTTCTTCTTTACTTGACTAATGCCGACAGGAGTCATCACCTGTGAGAATAGTATCATCCACATAAACTAATAAGACTATACATTAACCTGCAAAATTCTAGCTAATGAAACAAGTGTGATCGGAGTGGCATTGAACAAAGCCCATAGATATAATAACAAAACTGAAGCGACCAAACCATACTTATGGAGACTGTTTCAAACCATACAAGGATTTGCGTAACCGACACACTTTCTCCAAATACTCCCCCTCAGCCCAAAAACCGAGTGGAGGAGCCATGTAAATCGTCTCAAGATCTCCATGGAGAAATGCATTCTTAACATCAAGCTGATGAAGAAGCCAAGAATGAGATGCTACAAGGGAGATAAGGAGACGTACAGAAGAAGCATGGCGACAAGGGCAAAAGTGGCACCAAAATCCTTGCCAGAAATCTATGTGAAACCTTTGGCCACCAAGCAGGCTTTGTAATGGTCAACTGAGTCATCAGCAAGGTACTTTATAGTGAACACCCATTTGCAACCAACTGTGCTTTCCCTAGGAGGTCAAGGTACAAGATCCCAAGTGTGATTCTGTTCTAAGGCCGCCATCTTGCCGCTACCCATTTGGGATTTTGAAAGGCCTCAGATATAGAACGAGGAATGGACTCCGACTCAAGCTTGCCAAGAAAAGAACAATAAGAAGGGAAAACCTTGTCATAGGAAAGATACTAAGAAATAGGATGATTAGTACTACTCAAATAATTCAAAACGATTTGGAGGATGTCGATCCCGATGTGGGTTACGACAAGGAGGTGGAGAAGGAGCTAAAAGAGAAGAGTTACCTGACCTAGAGATCAGAGAGGCGGCAGGGGGGGTTGAGTGCGTGGGCAACGAGAGTATACTTGCAATGGGGGAGGAGGCGAGGTTGAGAAAGAGGAAAGGGGACAACCTCATTGTCAACCTCATTCAAAATGGTCATTAGGCGAACAGTGGAAGTAGCAGGAGGAGAAGCCTGCAAAAAAGGGTTAGTACCAAAGAAAGAAAGATCCTCACAAAACGTAACATCCAAAGTGTGGTGAAAGTGATAAGACACAGGGTCATAACACCTATACCCTTTGGACATAGAAGAGTACCCTAAGAAAATACAACGAATAGATTTGTCATTTAACTTTGTGCGAGTGGGACTCCGATTTGAACAAACAGGTACACCCAAAGATACGAGGTAAGAGTGGAAATAGAGTGGTGGTGGGCATAAGGGTATGAAACGAAGTGAGTCCATGCAACACACGACTAAGGGTCCTATTAATGAGGTAAACAGCAGTAAAGGCAGCCATATGCATATAAGACTTGGGAACACCCATACCTCGAAGAAAACACCGAACAGTAGACATAATATAACGGTTTTTGTGTTCAACGACACCATTTTGTTCAAGGGTCCGAAGACAAGTAAGTTGTTGAATACCAGTTTTGATTAAGATGGGAATGAAATGCATTAGAAATATATTTCCCACCATTATCAGGATGGATAGTCCTAACAATTGTATGAAACTGAGTTTTAACCATCTGTAAAAATTGGACAAATATGGGAAAGACGTCAAACTTACGACGAATTAGATAAACCAAAGTGCACCTAGTGTGATCATCAATAAAAGTCACATAATATCTATGACCAAAAAAAACGGTGACAGGGGAAGGGCCCCAGACATCAGAATGTACAAGATCAAAAACACTAGGAGCACGAGTCATATGAAGGATATAGCTAGTACGGGTATGCTTAGACAACTCACAAACCACACAATGAAACTTAGAATCTTTGCAAGCTTTATTAAATGAAGGAAAAAGTAGACATAAATACTGAAAATTAACATGACCCATACAAGTGTTCCATAATTCTAAAGTTTGAATATTAAAAACACAAGACATGGAAACAGGCAAAACAGAGGCCTAAAAACTAGCCAAAGTATAAGAGGAAAGCTCGTCCGGTGGATCCCCAAAGTAGTACAGCCCATCACGCTCATAGCCCTTACCAAAAATCCTCTTTGAACTCAAGTCCTGTAAAAGGCAAGAGGAGGGTAAGAAGATGACAGCACAATTAAATTGTTTGGCAAGACGACTAATGGATAAGAGATTATATGCAAAATTTGGAACATGTAAAACAGATGATAAAGTAATGGTAAGGGATAAAGACACTACATCCTTATGACGAACAGAGGATAACAAACCATCAGCAAGACACAGTGTTAAAACCTACCATCACCTACTCCACCTACTACACCTACCACCACCTACTACCACCTACTACACACCTACCACTACCACCTACTCCACTACATCTCCTATATAAGGAGCCCTCACCATTTGTAATACAATATATACAATAATCATAATACATACAATTTATTCTCTTTCTATCAATTTATCTTACATGGTATCAGAGCTATAAGATTTAGGCCTGTATTTCTTTCTCATCGGCGGGCAGCTGGCTGACAACTTTGCCTTCGCTGCCCGCTGGAGATTTCTACACGATACGAATCCGGCCAGGAGAACTGGCAGTAAGAGATCTATGCTGAGCCTGAAGCTGACCAATCTAAGGGGTGGTTTAGGATGTCCTAAATAAGTGCACTTTCTGACTTTTTATGAAATATGGATTGGGTATGGATTGGGTTTGAAGTGATGTGGTAGACAGGTGATGTGACTTAAATAAGATAATGTGACTTAAATAGGATAGTGACTTTTTGACTTTTTGAATTTTATAGTTTATGCAAAACAAGGCCTAAGTCTATAACTCCTGTAAATTAGGGAGATGAAGAGACCCAAGAGCAAGAGTAGCGGAATCCACTAGAGCCGTAGTGCGAGGGGTGCCAGCACCACGAGGGCGAGAAGAACGTAGCCTTAACTCAAGATGAAATTTAAAGCAACGAACCTTAACATGACCAGAAACGCCACAATGATTACAAGTAACTGGACTCGTAGAACCCTGATAACCAGACTTTGTAGCAAAAGCCATCTGATTAAATGAAACTGGAGATAGAGGAAAAGGATTCGACTGAACCAGACGCTATCAATGGTGAAAAAGGCCTTATAAAGAGAGGGCATAGGTGATGTGTTTAAAAGCTGAGTTCGAAGGGATTCAAACTCAGTGTTTAAACCCATCAGAAACTGGTAAGTATGCTGACAAGTAGGGCATTTGGACACAAGACAAGCAGCATCTACTGGTAACTCAATCAAGGGCTCATATTGAGCCAATTCTTCCCAACGGGCCTAAAGGTATCCAAAGAATCCTGACACAAAAAGACCCAAGGTAGGCTAGGAAGCACGAGTATTATCCTGATAAAGCTCAAAGATGCGAGCATCATTATGAGCATGAGCATACATCTGTGACAAGGCATGTCATAGACCTAGAACTGTGTCATAATAGAAAAACATATGATAAATACGATCTTCTATGGAGTTGAACATCCATCCCAAAATAGTACAGGTATCAATATCCCACTATGCATGGGAGGATCTATTGCAGCAAGCTGGATAGTGGAAGATAAATGCCAATGAGCTTTTCCCTTACCCCCTAAATAGAGTTTAAGAGAGCGGCTCCAAGCAGCAAAATTTTTTCCATTAAACACCACACTCGTAATAAGATGAGCATGAGTGTGATGAGAAAGAGAAAAATCATAACTAAATGGGATAGTCTTGGTGGATATATCAATAAAGGATGGATCAGTCATGGTGGGAGAAGAGGGGCTGAAAAACACACAAAGATAGCAACACAATCCAAGAAAAAATAAGAAGTCCTAAAAAACTCAACGGCTTATCCAAATAGATGCTCATTAACACAAATTTCCAGCATAACTAAATGGGATAGTCTTGGTGGATATATCAATAAAGGATGGATCAGTCATGGTGGGAGAAGAGGGGCTGAAAAACACACAAAGATAGCAACACAATCCAAGAAAAAATAAGAAGTCCTAAAAAACTCAACGGCTTATCCAAATAGATGCTACCGAATAAACCCAGTAGCCCAAAAAAATAAAAAGACAGACAAAGGGGCTTAATATATCAGTCCAATCACCCTAAGAAGGGGAAAGAAAAAACAACCACGAACCACCTAAAGAGGCAGCCGAAGCACGTAAGACCAGAACCAAGTTTGGTCGGCAGCAACCAGAGCCTCGGCATGGATAAAGAAGGCCTACCGAGGTGAAGACAAGGAAGGAGAGAGGCTGCGAAGGTTGGGTTGAGGCTGGGTTGGGGCTGTCGGCGGGAGAAAAGGAGTTGGAAAGGGTTGTCGGAGGCTAGGTGGAGGCTAGGAAGAGCTATCGAAGGCTAAAAGAAGGCTAGTCTGAGGCTGTCGAAGGAAGAAAAAAAGCTGGAAAGGATTGTCAGAGGCTAGAGAGAACAAAGAAGGTAGTCGGTTGTGATGGGTGGTTAAGAGAGAGTCAGCTACCAATCAATGAGGTAGAGACCATGTATATATAATATATTCATGATACAATTTAGGAAACAATATATACAAAGTAAGATTCCTATAATCAAAATAATTCTTATTCTAATTCCTATTCTAATTTCCATATTCAAACATAATATTTTGATTTCTATATTCAACAAACTCTAAATTTTCTTCAAGTAGCACTTTTAGACATTTAGTATCCAGAAATTCGGTAACACATAAAATGAATAGGGAAAATAACAACAAAATTAGGACTTTTACTCTTGGGAAAAACATATTAAAGCAAATTAGGCATAAATTTCAACTGAGGTACATGATAAAAGAGTCCTCTATTCCAAGAACATTGTTTACACCATACGTGTAGTATAGGCCACAAAATCAGGACTTTTACTCTTGGGAAAAACATATTAAAGCAAGTTAGGCATAAATTTCAACTGAGGTACATGATAAAAGAGTCCTCTATTCCAAGAACATTGTTTACACCATACGTGTAGTATAGGCCACAAAATCAGGACTTTTACTCTTGGGAAAAACATATTAAAGCAAGTTAGGCATAAATTTCAACTGAGGTACATGATAAAAGAGTCCTCTATTCCAAGAACATTGTTTACACCATACGTGTAGTATAGGCCACAAAATCAGGACTTTTACTCTTGGGAAAAACATATTAAAGCAAGTTAGGCATAAATTTCAACTGAGGTACATGATAAAAGAGTCCTCTATTCCAAGAACATTGTTTACACCATACGTGTAGTATAGGCCACAAAATCAGGACTTTTACTCTTGGGAAAAACATATTAAAGCAAGTTAGGCATAAATTTCAACTGAGGTACATGATAAAAGAGTCCTCTATTCCAAGAACATTGTTTACACCATACGTGTAGTATAGGCCACAAAATCAGGACTTTTACTCTTGGGAAAAACATATTAAAGCAAGTTAGGCATAAATTTCAACTGAGGTACATGATAAAAGAGTTACCTCTATTCCAAGAACTTTGTTTACACCATACATGTAGTATAGGCCACATACTATTTCCCTAATTACAGTATTTATACCAGGGCACAGACCACCACATGTTACTATAGATGCGTGCACTTCGTCAGACTCAAAATACACCTGAGGAAAATCCAAGAGCATTGGTCATCATTTGGAATTGAATAGAAATAGGGACAAAAGATATATGGGAAGAGGAGAGAGAGAGAGAGAGTAGAAAAACCTTTTGGCAAGGTCCTACACGGCGAAAATGTGTCCCTCCTGGGCTATTCTTGTGGACAATAATCTATGTAGAGGAAATGGACATGAATAAAAAATGATATGACCAGTCGATGTAAGCAGTGGTATTCTATCAACCCAATACATTTATTCAAGTAAGCCTATAAATAATGACCACTTCAACACCACCCCACATCTATGCTAAACATGAGTGATGTAACATAGCTAAGAAATACATAAGAATGACTTTCAGCAAAAATCGGTTTAAAAATAGCATAATAAAATATATTCACCTGCTGAGCAACAGTATCATCCTCATTGACAAAATACTGCCTGGTGAAAAAGAGATTCATTGACTGTGAAATAGAAAACTTTGGGCAATTCAATGAAAAACAAATACAATTACCATTAAACAATGCCAATTTAATTCACAAATACAAGTAAACAAACTTACTTAACAGCTTAATAGGAATGATTGTCTTGCAGTGGATTGGGGTAGGTCTACAAAAAAATAAATAAATAACATGATGTTGTGTCAGAACCTATCAATCCTACAAACTGACATGGAATAAACAGCTAGCTTATTTAATGACAATCTCAAAATCAGAACAAATAAAATATAGTCCCAGTTAGGTATTTGAGTGACATAAGTGACCTTGCTCTCATAGAGAGGGAAGTCAAATAATGCTAAGATGTCAAATAAAATGATCGTGTGTCAGTTTATCTGGGCACCAACCTATGGATTAGGAACTTTAGCCACCAACTATAAGGTATGATTACTCTTCTGACATAAAA